CGGTTGGCAGGTTTCCGTTGGACTTTTACGACCGACCGACGGCGGGCCAGGTCACCTGGAGGAAAGGTACGCGGGAAGTCAAGGTTCGCTGGGGAAAGTCAACGTGCCCCGAGTCTCGGCTTTCGGAGACGCTATGGGCGATAGCCGCCGCGGCCACCGGCTCGACAGGCAGTCGCATTGTTTTACAGCGTGCTTTTCCACCCCGAAGAAAGCACCGTTTCCGCGCGCGAGCGGGACCGTCCTCCGCCTCCGGGTGGCAGCCGTAAAGTTTACGCGGGATGCAATTCGTTTTACTGCGCGCAGACGCTGGCAGGAGACAATCGTTCGGAGAGCGTTTTAAGCCCTGTACACATCGGTCGGCTCGAAATTCGTTCTTTGTCTTCTGCTTTCCATGAAACAGATAAAGCGAGATCGAACTGAAATTAGAGTAACCGAGAAATATAGTTCCTCTGTCTTACGAGGAAAGCTATCGAACCCGGAAACGGAATGATCAAACTTCGCGTTAAGTGGAGTAACTCAAGTCTAGCACTGGAATTTTCGTGCAGAACTTCATTCTAAAGGGGTGAAACAGTCCCTTGAAATGCAAATTTTCCTTTCCTCTGGATTACCTTGGTAACAAGAGAAAACAGTTAAAACGGAAGACACATTGTTCCGTCTTGTCTATAAAATCCCAGGATAAAATTGCTCGGAATGTTCAAATTTTTCAAAACACCCCGTCGCCGACCCTCTGTTCGTGTTGGAATTTCAAAGTATAGTAGAACAAAAGATTGTGGCAGTCGACGCGGACAGCCACGAGCCTAATACAGCAGCGCGGACCGTGGAGAGAGTCGGTTGTCTGTTCGATCGTCAATTGTCTCCAGCGTGGATCTCAAAAAGTGTATAAAAGGACGGATCCACGCTGGACGACACTAGAGTTGTGTAAACCTATAAGCACAGCATTACGGCCCCATTCCGTGTAAAATTGGGTGGTCCTTCGGCAATAAATTTAGACGGCACGAAGTGCAATAATTAGGGTCTAGTTCGTACCCCGACAGTTCGAAAATCGCGCAGTCGTCGCGCAGTGTCGTGTACAGCTGAAGCGACCGAAGAATGTTTGACCGAATCGTCGTCACCTTATTTTTCATTCGGCCGATCCTCGTCCTGACGAATTATATAATTTCCGCGAGCGAGCGCTCGAAGTCTGCGGATCGAGAGGTCAGTGGAGAGAGGGGTGGAGTGTGCGTTGGCTGAAGCAACACCGCCGGAAGCCAGCTGCTTCGTATATCTCTCGGCAGGATCGTCGCGCACCACGCGGTGGCCGGCACGACGCCTCGCGCCGGGGCGCCGCGGCCGCCTCACGACGGACGCTCCGTCCTAAACAGACGCTAGCAACCGCGTGCCGGAACCGAGAGGATTCTCTAAATATTATCGCACAATATTTTTATCTCGCGCCGGATAACTTACACGCGCCGTCCACTCGCTCTTCCAACCCCCTGGAATTTCGTAATTCCGCCGGTCGATATTTATTTTCCTCCGGAGCCCTCGCCGCTGCCCGCCCCTCGTCGATTTCCCTTTCTTTCGCGGACGGATCGCGCGCGGGGAACTTTTTTCCGGCGGATTTATTTTTACGCGGCTCGAGCGGAATTCGCGGTGCCCGGAAGAGAGAGCCGAGTCGACGCCGCGAAGCACCCTCGCGCGGGGATGTGCTCCCGGTCCATTCACGCCGAAGCCGCGCGATAAATATGGACGATCTGGAATATTTAATCGGGAATAGCGGAGCGTTAGTGGCGCCTCTATTGCTTTATACATATGCATGGGGCTCCATTAGCTGTCACTCGAGGTGAACCCCGGCCTGTTCAACATCTAATCGGCGTGATACAGCGTTCCGGACGCGAGTGGGGACTTTCACGCGTGCCCGTGTACCGTCGTTCCAGGAAAAGTCGGTGATTCGGCGTTGGGTTACTTCTTAATTATTTGGTCACCGTTTAATCAGTTAACCGTCCTTGACTCGTCCAGGGTCGACCTAAATATACTCATCTAGGAACAGCTGATTAGTCAGGGTAATATTCATTTTCGAAACGACCAATTTTATAGGTACGTTACTCGAATGAAGATTTCTTAAAAATTATTTGTAGATATGAACACGTACGCATACTAGAATAAGGTACACACTTTTCAAACAGATCAGCTAATTGAAGGTTAGATTCGATTTACCATTCTATCGAGATTTTGATAGTATTACCCTTTCTCCGATTTCTCTATACGAAAATCATTCTTATCGTTAGTTCCATTTCCTACTCTCGTAGACTCCGATCCTTTTCTACAACGTGACCTCAGAATCACTGCGACCGGTAGGAAGATCGCGTACAAGTGGAAAAGACACAACAGTTTGGCAGGGAGCGAAACGCAGAGACCAGGCCCGCTTACAATTTGTAATCGACGTGGCTACCTGCGCGCCGCTAGGCGGCCGCTCGGGGATCGTCGAAAAAGCACGGTGACAGGACACCGCAAGAACTAGTTCCCCCCTACGAAGAGTTGACAGTATTTTTGTGCGGCGTACGAGACGCCTTCATTACCTATACACCCGATGCGAGAGGAACTCCCATTCAGAATTCGGAGCTCATGAATACGCCGGCCGGGTACCGTTCCCAGAAATCTCGGCTCTGTTTCGTGCCGGAGTCGGAGCTGCAGCGGCAGCATCCTTTCCCCCGCCCGGCTCGGATCCGTAATTCGATTTTTGCTTTTGACTCGTTCTTTGGGGCTGGGATCCCTTTTTGCCGGCGCGGCCACCTTGAATATTCTAGCCGTCAACGGAGGAATTGAGACCAGAATGTTCTTCTATTCGTTAAAACTGGATTTCCAACGGATTCCTTTTTTCAGCCTTCGGGAAATGTATTCAGACGCTGATTGTCCTTTTGCTGGTGACAGAAAAAGTCGGGAACTGGTTATTTCTACCTATTCCGCGAGATCTCGAGCGGCGACGCGCTACAGTTCTGTCGTTTGTTCCTTTGTTTTGTCTCGCATCTGCTGCTGAGGCGTTAGTGGTCGTAACTCGTGTGTGTGTAAGGTATTTAGAGGTATTTATGTATTTAAAATATACTTCCTATGTGTAGGATTATATTTTATACGGACTGGTAGTCTTGACATAGATCTACTTTGAAAGTTCGAAGTGTTTTCGTAAATGTTATTTTGCTATGAGACAGTGATTGATCATTGGTAGACATTTCTGATTTCTTTGCGTTTATATATTTGGAGCAAATATCAAGTTTGTGTTCTGTAATAATGCAGATATCACAGAGTTGTTGTTTCCCGGTTTTTCTTATACTAGCGTGCATTATGTTTGTGCGTCGAATCTCCAGTGGAATGTTCTGGTTGTAAATAAGATTTAATATTTATAATGTTCTTGTCTCGGGGTGGTCATTATCAGGATTATCCCTCAATTAGAACGGCGTGGTGGATAGACAAGAACTAAGTGAAACACGCACAGGCACGAACACGCGTACAGTTTGCGGCGATTCTTAATGCATTGCCACCTCCATTAATGATAATTCATGTAAATCGTCCCGTTATAGATGTATGATCTATGGAATCGATGCAAAAAGTCCCGTGCAAATAATGAGTTGACCATTCCGTGCTTCACCCGAAGTTCAAGAACGGACTGAAGATAAACTCCATAAAGCATTCTCAATTCCGCGCTGGGAGAATTACAATAATATTTATGACCGTTGAAAAAACCTTCGCCATGAATCTTTGAACACCGATCGAGCAGGTATTCATAAACCCGGGATCTCTAGCTCTCTAATCTCGGATGATTCCTGTTTGTCATTCGTGTTCGGTCCGCCTGAATTCCGGAAAACGATTGAACGTCCAACCGCGTCCGGCAATGAAGCACGACAGCCCGAGAACGCTAAGACTATCAATTAGCGAAAGCCAGGCAAAGTAATCTTAGTCGAGCATTGTGAACGGACCTTTACACACAATCCTCAAGAGAGGCCTTCTGGTCAACACGTGCGCATTTTTCGAGTAATATTTGACATTTCTTTCCAAACATTTCGACGAACCCGCACACTTGAGGTTCTTACACACTTCTACCTCTAAACCAGAAGACCCCAAGCTCCGAGCAGTATTTAACGTCGAAGCCGCCTCGTCTCTGGCTTCCCATAAAATCCACGAGACCGCGTCCGCCGAGATTCGACGCGATTTCATTACAGCATCCGCGGAAACGAACGAATCCACTTTTCCCCGTTTAAAACGAATCACGCCGATTCGCCTGGCGGCTCGAGCGTTAATCGTAGTCCCCGATTGGAACGGAACGAGAGTCCCGGTCACTCGCATCCGGCGGTTTCATCGACATTTGTCGTGCGTCTCGTTCTTCCCGGCGTTCGCGAGCGGCGCGCGCGTCCTTTCCAGTAAGAACTCGCGGGTCCAATTAAGAGCGAGGCAACCAGTCAGGCGGTGAGGCATCGTCTCCCTTTTGTTTCCATTCTGATCGGCACTACGCGGCGCCATGAAAATGCTTGGGAATCCCGTGGTTCGCCGCTCCTCGGCTCTCTCTCCCGCCGTCGGCCCTCTCGTTCTCTCGTTCGTTCTCCCTCGCATCATCTCCCCGTTGTTCCTGAGTTGGGTCCGCTCGCGGCCAACAGAGAATTCCATCGCGTTCGCCGACGCGTTTCCGTTTCTATACCGACGAATTGAACAGTGGGGGTCCAATTAAGAGGAAGCACGCGAAGGAAATCGCTTAGAGAAAGACTGTCTGGAACGGCGAATCGTGGGCAGCCGCTCGGCTACGGGGTAGAAATGAAAAGACGGAAAGCGAGAGAGGGACCACGAGCCGAGCGGAACAGAGACCGAGGAATATAGAGTACCGCGGGTAACACACACGCGCGGAACCCGAGCGCGCGCGCGTCTGTGTGCGCGCGTACGCAGGCATCCGAGATACGATCGTTCCCTATAGTTTTAATACCGCAATTACCACCGAGTCTAATTATCAAAGCTTTTAACCGTGTGCTCGTGTGTTACAGATCAGACAAGAGAAACCATACTACATCGCGGATCCGGAGGTGGACTCGCTGGTGAGTGTTTCCTTATTTGCACCGGCGCGGCTGTCGCGTCGGCGACGATCGGCCGATCCTCGAATAAACGACGAACCGCCCCCGGTTTTCGTACCGGCGGTCGTTCCCTCGATTTCTGCTTTCCCACCTCTTTTTCTTGTTACCCTCCGAAGCTTTTGCCCCCTCGTCCCTCTGCGCCCTCCGCCGCAGCGCCACGGCGAAATGCACGCTCGTCTCGTTTGCGCCTAATCATTCAATTTTATCTGACGATCGCGCGCCGGGATACGTACGGCCACCCGGCGTGAGCGAGCGAGCGCGCGCGTGTTCGTTTTCAAGAA